AATTCACAATTTATACTTTTTTATATTGTTACCGTTCTTTGCAAGTTCTGTTAAGGTTGGTCAAATAAACCCGGGAATGCTCCACTCGTCACACTCTTGCCCCCATAGACTCGATTTTAGGAGGCCAACTCCCTCCAATTTTACCCCGTGGAGTTAGGTTAGTGGAGGCCCACTCCCTCCTCTCTACCATGGAATGTTTACAGTGGCCCTGAGTGAAGGCCTGCTCCCTTCTCTCCATCCACTGTCTACGTCTCCTTGGGCTATAGGTTTTGTTTTCTTGACACTCCAGGGGTTCATGGGGCTAAAATATTAACTGAGCACTCTGTCACCCACTTCCCCATTTTCAGTCTGAAGTTTGGGGAAACGCACAGGCCTAGAACTTGGAGAAGTGTCTTATTTAGTTATCTTCTATAGAGTACATCACAATTTCTTAGCTTTTTCCGTTGGTTGGTTTTCGATTTATTATTTTTGTTATTGCATGACAGTGAAAACGATCTGTACCCTTCGAAGAACAAAACAGCAACTGTGGAATATTTTTTTGTAAAATGATAAAACATGCTTTTTAGTTCATGAGTTTTGTACATGTTCTCACCTTGCTCTGATATAAATCTATGCTATTCCTTATTTTTTGATCGGGATCATTTGCCGTCCAATATGGGGATCATTTCCGGTCCGGGATCATTTACGGTTGAATTCGGACATCATTTGCGGTCCTGGGATCATTTGCGGACCCGTACAGGCCCTTTCAAGTGAAACAAATTTTTCATGTTTTTATAACTAAAGCAGTAGAGACCATAAACGTACGTCAAACGCCAAACGCCAAACGCCAAGCATGAAACTACCGTTTGCGGTTTGCCGTTAAACCGAAAACTTTGGTACTGAATGTCTCTACGACGAAATCCGGTAGGAAATCCATCAATTTCAATTTTTAGTGGAACAAAAACTTGTACCAGAATATATTTTTATATTACAGTCCTTTGTGCATTTTCGAAAAGCTAAAGATATAAATATTTGCCTGAAATAACACCAACAGCAATTTCCCTTGGGAAGTCGAGGAAATAAATTTCAAAGTCCGGAGAAATTGTGCAAACACAGGCAAAAGTTTATCATCAGTTTCATTTCACCAGTACTTTCAGGTGTTTCATCATGATATAAACTTCAACATTTGTTTTCGACATTTGGTGTTGTAGGAAATGATTTCCTTTGAGAAGGTATTTCAAACAGTCGCATAGAAGTTTGTTATACAATATAAATAATCTTGGTACAAAGTTTTTGTGTTCTTGTTACTCGATTTTCTGGTGGGTTCCCTCTTAATTTTCGGATGGTATTATTAGTGACTTTTGTTAGGAAAAATTCGTAACAAAAGACGTTACTTAACAGCACCTTACTGCTTCTGCGTGTGATGCTTGTGCTCTGCTAGAGAAAGCAGCCCTCTGACTTCTCGACAGTAAAATTTGCAAAATGAGTACCTTCAGGAAAACTTTCTGGAGCAGACTGGTGTGTTGTCTTTGTAACCTTGTTTTTCATAAGCCTCAAACCTTACAAATACGTTTTCAGCTTTCTCAATTTTAGAGTATACTATCACAAGCACAAGTAGGCTACAAATACTCTTACTTCCTCATTGCCACTAGAATATTAAAAAGTTATGATAATAATGTCCATGAGAGGGCTAACCTGCACATTGAAGGGTGCGATTGCATTTTCAGTATAGGCTCTCGGAACTGAACAATACTTAATCATTCATCGTAAAGGTGACTGTCACGGGATTCACATATTTTGCATTGCCTCCTAGCTTTTCAGCTTTGGTTTCGACTAAAAAGATCAATCGAACGTGAATCACAAATATCACAAATATCACAAATATTCCTCCCAGCGTCGTCTAGTCGAACTTCTATTAAGCGGCCACCTGTTAAGCGGCCAGTTATTCAAGTCCCAAAATTGTTGTCAGTAAAATAGTGTACGTAACACCCCTATCAGCCGGCCGCCTCTATTAAGTGGCGGCGGCTACCTTTTTGTCTTCCTGACGAGGGTCTTTACTATTGTCTTCAGATCACCCCTATTTAAGCGGTCACCCAAAATGTAATGCACGAAGTTAGGCTTTGTTTTGGTAAAGGCGATAACAGCTAGTCCAAAGAAGAAAGTGACCACTAATAAAAACATTAAAGCACACAATTACTGTTTTCTTGGCGTGATTCCATGTTGCCTAAAGCATGTTTGTGTTTAAATAAATTGACGTTTCCACTAAGCCTCATGTTTATTTCCTGACGAACCCCTATTAATTAGGCGGCCAAGCCCTATCAAGTGACCACCTCCCATTTCCCCGATAGTGGCCGCTTAATAAGGGTTCGACTGTATTTTCAGCTCTCTTCTCGGTGCTTGAAAATGTGATGAAATACTGTCTCTTACATGTCGGTTTGGTTTAATGCTTACATGCTACGTATAATAAAGTAGTTCACGAAACGTCTCATACTGACATCATCGCTCTGAACCGATTGACAAAAACCAAGCAAAACATTAAGTTAATTGTTTAATGTTATTTGTCACTTTTGAAAGTAAAGAACAAAAGTACGGTACCCCAATTTTTTAAATGTCAGATATATTTGCAACAGATATTTAAGTTGGACCCTGTACAGTTAACGTAAATGAAAAATAGCTAGTATCTGCCAATCGCCAAATTGCAGGTAGACACGTGGAAGCTTTATTATTGTACATAGCGTGCTAGTATCCCATCCCATGCAAACCTGACAGCAGTTGTTAAGTCTTACGTACTTATACATCAAATAAACAAACAAACCTAATAAACTTACCGTGTGCAATGCGCAGAATTACAAAAGTTTTCGTTTGTCGCCAATTCCCCGCCGAGTAATCCCACGGTTTCATCAATGTCTTTTATCTAGCAGAGACTTGTTTATTTGACTTGAAAACATTTGGTTGTTTAGATTTTCTCTTTGCCAACAGTAACAGGTAGAAGAGTTAATATTGGCACCCTGTCAAATAATATTTAAAGGGGCTCAGTTACGGTATTTTGAGTTAAATAATAATACTTTAATAAGATAGAAAAACACCAAAGAAATCATGATAAACCATAAAGAAACAAGGATGGCTACGGACGGAAAAGATTAACACGGATTACAAACGACGAATTTGAAAAATTGAGGCTAAACTTGTAAATATGCGCAAACCGCGCGTGACTGAGCTCCTTTAAGGTCAGATTGGGCACATATCTAAGAGTTTATGTTTTACAAGACGCTTCGCCGGAATATGGTCGACTTACGAAAATTTCGGTCGAAAAAATGGTATGTCCAAAGATTTGAATGTTTAAGCTATTTATAGTGTATTTGCAGTACGAGTTTTCTGAAGCTAGAGTATCAAATATTTTTTTTTTTTCAATTTGCATATATATAATGTAAATTCCACGACAATTGTCTTGGTCAAAGAGGCGGTCAAGTAATCTTACGTGAAAATTCCATCGAAAAGCGAAGTACTCATTATTCCGTTTGCTTGGCAAAATTAGAAAACTATCATGGCTGAGAAAACTACTTCATTGTGATTGGCTGAGACCGGGACAATCTATTTTATATTTTTAATTGCACTGCAGTGCAAATTAATGCTGGCACGTTTGCAATTTTCTCAGTCGTATAATAAATGAGTAATCGCATGAAAGCTTAAGCAAATAACTTTTTTTGTAATATATTTGTATTGCAATATATTTTGAAAGAATTTTCAAATTTCACTGGTTGGGCCAGTCCACACTACGCCGGAGAAATTTGAAAACGAAGTTCTCACTCTCAAAACGCATCAAATGTGTTTTCCGTCCACACTACGCCGCAGGAATTGGGAAACGCAACAGTCACCGGTCATTTTGGATTTGTGGTTGAGGTCAACTCGAGCAGGGAAATCACATGATTATCGTAATGTCATCGTTTTCGAAAAGTTCCGTTTTCAAAATGTTTTCCGTCCACAAAAAGAAACGCAAAACCAGCGTTTTCACTCCGCCCGGTGTGAAGAGTGTTCTCGATTAGCTGCGATTTCGTGACGGATTAGTGTGGACTGTAGTAAATAAAGCTGCGTTTTTAAATTTAAATTGCACTTCTTGGACGTCCTTGCAAATGCAGGCATTCTAATTATTTATAAAACAACACCTTTTTCCTTTAAGATCGAGACCATTTGTTCGTACGGTGTTTTGGGTTTTGGATAACTTGGCCGTACAGACGAAGAATCCTTGATAGACGTCCACTTAGACGACTTCTGCGTCTGAGACGACGTTTTCGTTCAAACGCGTCGTCATTCATCTAAGGTGAAAACGGCCATTGTAGAACGCACCAGTTTCATTGCTCTCTCTGCAGTCGCCATTTTGTATTTAGGCCGGTCTGATCTGGTCCTTGTATCTCCGACTGAGCATGCAACTTTTTAAGATCAACTAAGATTCGCACAGAGCTAACTGCTTCTCACTTCGACTTTTTTTGGTTTATTGCTGTCATGGCAATACTAAATTCAATTAAATAGTTTACCGGGGTGGCGTGGAAAGCTATGAACAAATTCAGTAACTGGGGTAAATTTTACGTCATTCCGGCCTAGGAAAGTCTGCTAAAATCGTCAAGCTCAGTTCTTGTCTAACGATATTGTTTTCTTGTATTCCATGGATACCTTGTTCAAAGCATACCAACTAAGATACTCCGTGTATTACACAGAAAGTACCTAAACTGAGCTAAATTTCGACGTTTAGGGGCAATGAAAGTCTTTCATTTTATAGTAGTAAATATAGTATTAAGAGTGTGTCCAGTAATAAGAGTGTGTAGGTATTCTGATAACCTTCCACGTATTATTTGCTTTTACACTTTGTTCAAGTTTGTTTTCTTTCGATTTATGAATCAAAGGGGCTAAAACGAAGATCCTTACAGTACGGACAGAGAAGACCAGGTTAATAAGATATTTTTTCGATCTCTACGGACTCGGAAACAGCTTCAAATTTTGGCCAATTACAGCACGTAGTTGCTAAGGGGTATAATAAAGTTACTGAATATCAGGTACTTAAGGTACTTAAAGACGTTTCTACTCCAATAGATTCCTGGCAGTCTGTTTTGCTCTCGAAATGTGGCCGGGATTATGAGGCGAGACCGTGAAGGGATTGGCACGAGACCTGAGAGTGGCAGCCGCTTTTCGTCCGTACTCATCTGACTCTCAGAAAAAGACCGGCTGACAGCAGTTACTAATAAAAAGATCTTACGAATAACTTTTTGACAGTATTTTCGAAAGCCATAGATCTTTCGTCACTGATGAGTATGACAAGGCGCTTCTTGTCATATATCAAACACGAGAGACGATTTTAGAAGGGAGTTTACATACGACACGTAGTAAATTATTTCTGACGAACTTTGAGGTGGTTGGAACTGCCGTGATGAAACACTGTCTCCAGTGTCTTGGATATGTTGTCAATCGAAGCTATAGCGATAAGGAGAACACGGAAAGATTTAATGGTAATATTAATATATTTCCGAACATCGTCCCTTTTATGATTTCTCTTCTTTTATCTTGATGAAATGCTTGTGAGTTTGCAAGTTGAAATTTTTAAATAGCCTTCCACGACCGCAACGTTTACAAATTTGCCGAACTTTTATTTTGCGTTTCTTCAGGTTTCCCTGTCAAGCATACTTCTAAGGACTCACGCTCAGCACCAGATTCAGACAGAAATGTCCAACGATATATCACGTTTACATAATTCAGGACCCACTCTCAGGAGCCAATGCATTAAGGGCTCGACCAGTTCTGAATCTTCTTGTGGGAAAACTAGACAGACATCGAAAAAAAAGCTTTTTGTTCGTGAAACAAACTACCCCATCCAACAGCATCAGTTGTCACAAACCAGTGACAACTTGGACATTGATAAGCGCAACCTGCGATTTGTTGTTACTTGTTAGTTGGAAATTTTGTTCCTCTTCTTGAGTCACATTCGAGTTTCCCAACAATGCCCTGCTTTTTCTGCACCTTTCTCTGAAAAAGCTCTTGTTCTTCAGACTCTTAAATATTTTCTTGAATGCAACTTTGAACTCCTGGCTCGTGATATAGTACACCAGTGGATTAGCTGACGAGTTGATTAAAACGAAAACTGCAACTTGGCCCATGATCAGGTTGTAGTAAGACTTCGTCCAAAACGTCGGTATAATAAGCAACGAGACGCGTAGAGCGTTCAAGGGAAACATTGTCACCGCAAACAAAATCACTAGAGGTGTAAGAATTCTCGTTGTCTTCTTGCTTTGTTGCCAGATTCTTTTGTCGCCTCTTTCTTTGTTTGATGGAGCTTGCGACAAGACTGCTTGATCTCTATCATCATACTCTGACATCGAGGTTCGGAAGGCAACACTTTGAAGTACTCGTTTCTTGATCATCATGTATGTGAATGTTATGACAACCAGAGGAAGTGCATACCAGACGACGATATGAACTGCCGAGTAAGACAGGAATACCGCATTTGTCCCAGACATATCAGGCCATTCCAGGTAGCAGACTTCCAGAGTGGAATGGTAAGCCATGAAAGGGTACAATGGAACAGATGAAACTAAAAACGACGCCAACCACACTATGCCAATAACCACAAAAGTCGTCAATCGAGATCTGTGCTTGATCTGGTATCGCTGGGCGCCGACAATATTCCGATATCTCTCGGTGGCAATGGCCGTAATCGACCAGATGGAGGCTCCGAAGAATATCTCCACGGTAGGATACAGGTAATAGCACGCATGTTTTCCTAACAACCAGCGAAATGGGAAGAGGTATTTTAACACTACCATAGGATAGATGATAAGTAGTACCCCCAAATCCGCTATGGCCAAGCTCAGCAAGTAATAATTCATGGAGCTCTTCATCTTGGGGCGTGTAAGGATCGCGATGCATACTAAAACATTACCAATCACACCCAGGAGTACAATGGTTGACCACAAACTGATTTGGAACACTATAGCTCCTAACGGCTGGTGGAGATAGACTGGAAAACCCGGTGCTGCAGTTTGCGTGTCTCTTGCATTCACTGCAGATGTATTGAGTGTTTGGTTGTTGAACAGGTTATTCATGGTTGGTCCCTTCTTTTTTTACCTAGAAGAGAAACAATGTTTTTGTAATTTTGCAATTTTACGCGTTGTTATTGTTGTCCAATTAAGAAACGTTCCACTGATTTATCTGTCCAAAAATTCTCCCGTATAGATTTGACAGACGTAAAATTTTGACATCGACTTTCTTACATTCATTACACCAACTCGACGTTCTACAATATCTTCATCTGCGTAAATGAGACAAGCTGTAGCCTAGTTATGTTACCATAGTAACCATAGATGGACTCTGAGCCTAGTAACGAAAGCGAAAGAAAGAAAGTGTTGGTTAGCGAACTGGATTGCTAATTTCCATCTATCTTCGTTGAGGAGAAACGGCCAAAGTATTCTATACATATCCCGTTACGTTTCTAGCTGTTTCGTCGAAACATTGAATCTCTCTAACTTCTACTTTCTGGGGATATCGTTTCTCCCCAGTATTCTAATCTTTTCTTCACAAACTGAAACAGTATCGACAAGTTTATACCACTTTGGTTACGGTGGATTGGCCTTATTCCGGAATAAGAATAAATAGACTAACCGCCAATACCCTCGTTCAATTAAGTCGCTGAGGCCTACTCTGGGACCTAAAGTCGCCTTAAGTCGCCTAAAGTCGCCTTAAGTTGCTATAGGTTACGCAATGTTAAAAAGGTTCCAACACACTCAAATTGTCCCTGTAGAAGGTTATTAGACTTATAACTGTCATGTTAGGCTAAACTCCACTCTCACCCTATGGAGGAGAAGGCACGATGGCCTAATGGTTGGTGCAATGGACCGTATTTGGGATCATTGCATTGTGTTCCTACTCTCATAGTGCCTCTCCTCGCTTAGATGTATCAATGGGTACTGGTTACGGAACAGGGGGGCAGTAGAGGTAACCTCAGTAGGTGACCTTTTAAATTTTTTTTTAACACTTGTTCCCAAGCATTAGAGCCATCTAAAGCTCCCCTTAAAGGGCCCTAGTCAGCCACACCTGCTTTATTCGGAGCATGTCAAAGCAAAGAAAATCACTGTGAAGCTACTAAAGATAAAGGGACATACTTTCAGGAACACAACTTACAGTAAAGTAACAAGACTCCGCCTTACCATGCAATATCAATAATTTTGATGGCATCGAAAATAGCACAGGCTGACTAGGGTCCTCTGAGAAGCTGAGGACCCAGCAATTACTGTATTATACCTGAAAGCTGTGGCTCCCTCATATATAAAAAAAGTTATTATAATAGTCCTGCATCTGTCTAGTCCCTATAGACTCCCCATGTTAGCAGGAATAATCTCTACATGTAGACAATACTTAAACTTTGAGGAATGACAATCTGATGTGTACTCTCTCACAGATGGCTTTTTATTTCCATTAAGTTTTAATTTTTTTCTTGTATTTCATTGTAAAAGAGTTAATAAAAAAAGATGGCACTCTGTGTTACCATCAGGAAATATATTAAATACATGTATGGAAAGATACAGCAAATGACTATACTGCAATAATTTCATTTAAGCTTATTAATTTTGATAGATATTACTGAATAAAATCTTCCGAAGACCTACAGTGTTTAATTAATAAACAACAACAGTGAGAGGTGTTCCAGATCATCAGGATGAAAAAAAAAAAAAGAAGATATTTCTGGGTTAAGGCTCAATTCTTTCTAGTCACTTTTACACTGAGCAGTAAAAATATGGTCATCCAAAGTCAATTGAACCGAACTGAGTCTATACTTTAAATACTTTACTTACCCAGTGTAAAAAAGTGACAAAAGTGGGCCATCTCTCCAGTAAAAATCATTATTGCATTTTTCTTCCACATTCGACCAACTGTAAACGTTTGAATTTCGTAATTGGACAAACCAAGTTGCAGCATAATGTTTATCTATCCTTTTCGTACATTTGATGAAGCCAGGTGTTCCCATCATCTTATACACGACTGCGCTACTGTTACTATCGAAAGCTACGGTACAGAAAATTCTTTGTGATCAACTCTCGGTAAACATGGCCGCCAGGCCAATGTTTGGAACACGTGACTTAAGTTACGCGAGCTCACGCGAGTATGATTACTCTGAAAGGCGTTTACAAAAACAAGAAAGAAAACAAATCGCCAAACTAATTCTCTCCGAAATTTGGATACAGTAATTTATTATCGGGTGATTTGAAATAAATCTACATTCGGGAACACTTACCAAGAGAACTCGAATTTTCGTGGCACAGGGCGATGTCTCGTTTCTTTGAAGCATGGAAACCAGTTAGCGGCCCAAGGGTTACTGGGAGAATCATAATGGCGGAGAGCAGTGTGCCTGGTATCGATACATCAATTTCTAGTATTTCGTTGTTAAAATGTCGTTCTGGGCATTTGTGATGTGTCAGGTGGAAACTAGTGAAAGCCTGGTAGGTATCTTTCTTAGTGGTCTGATCAACCGTGGTAAAAACCTTCTAAAAATATTCGATTCACTGTATAAACTGCCAGGGTCATCAAAGTTTTCTGGAGCCTGACAAGTAGTTGGTGAAATTTGACAGGCCGTGTTCTTACGAAGGAACTTAGCATGCGGTACTCATGATGGTATTGGAATATTTTGTCTGACTGAGGCAGGAGGGCAACAAATCGATAGGGTCCCTGAAAAGCACTGAGCAACTTTGGAAAGCCATGCCATTTGCTAAACTCCCATGCCAAAATTGACAGTGGAGATGCCAAAAATATGGTAGATAATTCGGGAAGCACTGTAAAATAAATGCATGTAAATAAGCTAAATTGATTTTAATTTCCCTGTTGTTTGAATAATTTATGGAAATATAGAAACATTTCAAATTAAATCAAGATATCTTAGATTTAAATTTTTTGTCACTGTGAATATATTGTTATTAGTTTTGTTTCATTTTTTTATTGTGGTATCTTCACTAATATTCATGCTACTTTGCTGGTATTTATTGTTATTATTATTCTTATAGTAGTAACTGTTCAGTGTTATGGTAAATCTATTTTTAATAGTATTTTCTTTTTTAATGGTTTGAAATCTGGCCCGGGTTGTTCAAAAGCTAACCCAGGTAATATATATATTTTTTTGTATAGAGATATCTTTCTCTGCTTATGGTTGTGTAGTTTTAAGATGAATCAAACTCAAAACTGAAAGGCAAACAACATAAACAAAGAACTGGACCGAAAAGTTACAAAAATGGAAGTAATCAAAATTCTCTCTAATCCTGGTTTACTTTAATCAGGCTTTGAACAGCCCGGTCCTGGATATTTGAGACTGTGGTGACTTAATTATATACCAGTATTGGTACAATATTGGTTTATTGCAAGAGATATATGGAGAGACTGTTGCTAAGTTTAAATTTATATCCCTCGAGTGAAATAACGTCTCCTCAAGTCGCCTAAAATCGCCTTAAGTCGCCTAAAATCGCCTTAAATCGCCTAAAGTCGCAATGTTTTTTTCTGCCAATTTTGCTTAAGTCGCCTTAAATCGCCCAAAGTCGCCTTAAGTTACGGCGATTTAAGGTGCTAGAGTAGGCCTTCACTGGATTCATGTTTAGAAAGCAGAATACTCCAAATGTTGGTCTGTCGTGGCGTATTTCATAAGAGGAAAACGCAAACAACGAGTACTAAATGAAGAAATTGTTCCAAAACAGAAAGTATGGAAAGAAATGAGTGTGAAAAATGACTTGTTGCCAGTAATGTGAATGACCATCGAAATTACACCGAGACTATCGTGACTTGACAGTGCAGCTCTAGGGAAGTGAAATGATGCATGAAAACGTAACTGCGAAGCTTCGAAAATATCCCTCTCGGGTGTAGGAGAAGCCACTGTACGCCTCAAAATTGCACAGAAATATTAACCTAAGCTTGGATCGGATCAGGAGAACACGTTTTGCTGGTGTAAAAGCGTGTACGGAATCCTCATGTACTGACTTCTTTTTAGAATGAATTTGTGCAGTTTTGTTCTTGAATCTACAGTACTTACCGGTGCTGGCCTCAGGAAACTTTAATTATGAAGAAGAAGTCAACCAGCTGTCAAACATGCCACACTCTTTGATATGTTTGTTCCCGCAGTTATTATGGCTTGGGTCCCCGTTTTCGACACGACATTTACTTTCTCCGATCGCTCAATATATATCCGACAGGTTTCACTTAACGGCCCTTAATCCTTATGCTAAGTTTAGACATGTGTCTTTGCATGATTAATGTAAAGTAGAAAAGTTTAATGTTAAAAGAAAACCGAAGACTGATTGGCTATTCAAGCGCCATTTATCGATCGAAAAAATGACAGTTTTTCAGGTGGCTGTTTATAGATACTGATCACCTTCAATGGCCCTAATGGAGGTATTATTTTCGTGCATTGTTAGTTGTTTTGTGATCCACTCAAACACAGGCTGTTTCTATACAAACCTCCAATATGATTACATTCGGTTGCAACTGTTTTGTTTGGTAAAATTATGACCCCTGTAGAGTTCTGCGGCGCCTCGCATCAACTTATTTAAGAGAAATTCTTTTTATATTTAATATACTTTCATTAAAAAAACAACAGGCGACACCACATTTCCACTATCGTCAGATAAACAAAACCAAACGATAACGTTATTTATAATCTAGTCACTGCAGGGAATCGATGTCTCTGTTCTTGACGTCAAACGCCTTATCTAAAACCACACGAAACGTTTCAGGAAGATTTCTCCCCAGCCTTTCCTTCTTTGCTATACCTGTAATAGTATTATTTTATGGCTGTTGTGTTCAGTTTTTTCAAAAGATTTCACTGAGAGCGGCACGTTAAATTTTTATAATNCTATCGAAAGCTACGGTACAGAAAATTCTTTGTGATCAACTCTCGGTAAACATGGCCGCCAGGCCAATGTTTGGAACACGTGACTTAAGTTACGCGAGCTCACGCGAGTATGATTACTCTGAAAGGCGTTTACAAAAACAAGAAAGAAAACAAATCGCCAAACTAATTCTCTCCGAAATTTGGATACAGTAATTTATTATCGGGTGATTTGAAATAAATCTACATTCGGGAACACTTACCAAGAGAACTCGAATTTTCGTGGCACAGGGCGATGTCTCGTTTCTTTGAAGCATGGAAACCAGTTAGCGGCCCAAGGGTTACTGGGAGAATCATAATGGCGGAGAGCAGTGTGCCTGGTATCGATACATCAATTTCTAGTATTTCGTTGTTAAAATGTCGTTCTGGGCATTTGTGATGTGTCAGGTGGAAACTAGTGAAAGCCTGGTAGGTATCTTTCTTAGTGGTCTGATCAACCGTGGTAAAAACCTTCTAAAAATATTCGATTCACTGTATAAACTGCCAGGGTCATCAAAGTTTTCTGGAGCCTGACAAGTAGTTGGTGAAATTTGACAGGCCGTGTTCTTACGAAGGAACTTAGCATGCGGTACTCATGATGGTATTGGAATATTTTGTCTGACTGAGGCAGGAGGGCAACAAATCGATAGGGTCCCTGAAAAGCACTGAGCAACTTTGGAAAGCCATGCCATTTGCTAAACTCCCATGCCAAAATTGACAGTGGAGATGCCAAAAATATGGTAGATAATTCGGGAAGCACTGTAAAATAAATGCATGTAAATAAGCTAAATTGATTTTAATTTCCCTGTTGTTTGAATAATTTATGGAAATATAGAAACATTTCAAATTAAATCAAGATATCTTAGATTTAAATTTTTTGTCACTGTGAATATATTGTTATTAGTTTTGTTTCATTTTTTTATTGTGGTATCTTCACTAATATTCATGCTACTTTGCTGGTATTTATTGTTATTATTATTCTTATAGTAGTAACTGTTCAGTGTTATGGTAAATCTATTTTTAATAGTATTTTCTTTTTTAATGGTTTGAAATCTGGCCCGGGTTGTTCAAAAGCTAACCCAGGTAATATATATATTTTTTTGTATAGAGATATCTTTCTCTGCTTATGGTTGTGTAGTTTTAAGATGAATCAAACTCAAAACTGAAAGGCAAACAACATAAACAAAGAACTGGACCGAAAAGTTACAAAAATGGAAGTAATCAAAATTCTCTCTAATCCTGGTTTACTTTAATCAGGCTTTGAACAGCCCGGTCCTGGATATTTGAGACTGTGGTGACTTAATTATATACCAGTATTGGTACAATATTGGTTTATTGCAAGAGATATATGGAGAGACTGTTGCTAAGTTTAAATTTATATCCCTCGAGTGAAATAACGTCTCCTCAAGTCGCCTAAAATCGCCTTAAGTCGCCTAAAATCGCCTTAAATCGCCTAAAGTCGCAATGTTTTTTTCTGCCAATTTTGCTTAAGTCGCCTTAAATCGCCCAAAGTCGCCTTAAGTTACGGCGATTTAAGGTGCTAGAGTAGGCCTTCACTGGATTCATGTTTAGAAAGCAGAATACTCCAAATGTTGGTCTGTCGTGGCGTA